TAATTAATTATGTTAAAAATATTCAATAAAAGATATAATTAATTATGTTAAAAATATTCAATAAAAGATATAATTAATTATGTTAAAAATATTCAATAAAAGATATAATTAATTATGTTAAAAATATTCAATAAAAGATATAATTAATTATGTTAAAAATATTCAATAAAAGATATAATTAATTATGTTAAAAATATTCAATAAAAGATATAATTAATTATGTTAAAAATATTCAATAAAAGATATAATTAATTATGTTAAAAATATTCAATAAAAGATATAATTAATTATGTTAAAAATATTCAATAAAAGATATAATTAATTATGTTAAAAATATTCAATAAAAGATATAATTAATTATGTTAAAAATATTCAATAAAAGATATAATTAATTATGTTAAAAATATTCAATAAAAGATATAATTAATTATGTTAAAAATATTCAATAAAAGATATAATTAATTATGTTAAAAATATTCAATAAAAGATATAATTAATTATGTTAAAAATATTCAATAAAAGATATAATTAATTATGTTAAAAATATTCAATAAAAGATATAATTAATTATGTTAAAAATATTCAATAAAAGATATAATTAATTATGTTAAAAATATTCAATAAAAGATATAATTAATTATGTTAAAAATATTCAATAAAAGATATAATTAATTATGTTAAAAATATTCAATAAAAGATATAATTAATTATGTTAAAAATATTCAATAAAAGATATAATTAATTATGTTAAAAATATTCAATAAAAGATATAATTAATTATGTTAAAAATATTCAATAAAAGATATAATTAATTATGTTAAAAATATTCAATAAAAGATATAATTAATTATGTTAAAAATATTCAATAAAAGATATAATTAATTATGTTAAAAATATTCAATAAAAGATATAATTAATTATGTTAAAAATATTCAATAAAAGATATAATTAATTATGTTAAAAATATTCAATAAAAGATATAATTAATTATGTTAAAAATATTCAATAAAAGATATAATTAATTATGTTAAAAATATTCAATAAAAGATATAATTAATTATGTTAAAAATATTCAATAAAAGATATAATTAATTATGTTAAAAATATTCAATAAAAGATATAATTAATTATGTTAAAAATATTCAATAAAAGATATAATTAATTATGTTAAAAATATTCAATAAAAGATATAATTAATTATGTTAAAAATATTCAATAAAAGATATAATTAATTATGTTAAAAATATTCAATAAAAGATATAATTAATTATGTTAAAAATATTCAATAAAAGATATAATTAATTATGTTAAAAATATTCAATAAAAGATATAATTAATTATGTTAAAAATATTCAATAAAAGATATAATTAATTATGTTAAAAATATTCAATAAAAGATATAATTAATTATGTTAAAAATATTCAATAAAAGATATAATTAATTATGTTAAAAATATTCAATAAAAGATATAATTAATTATGTTAAAAATATTCAATAAAAGATATAATTAATTATGTTAAAAATATTCAATAAAAGATATAATTAATTATGTTAAAAATATTCAATAAAAGATATAATTAATTATGTTAAAAATATTCAATAAAAGATATAATTAATTATGTTAAAAATATTCAATAAAAGATATAATTAATTATGTTAAAAATATTCAATAAAAGATATAATTAATTATGTTAAAAATATTCAATAAAAGATATAATTAATTATGTTAAAAATATTCAATAAAAGATATAATTAATTATGTTAAAAATATTCAATAAAAGATATAATTAATTATGTTAAAAATATTCAATAAAAGATATAATTAATTATGTTAAAAATATTCAATAAAAGATATAATTAATTATGTTAAAAATATTCAATAAAAGATATAATTAATTATGTTAAAAATATTCAATAAAAGATATAATTAATTATGTTAAAAATATTCAATAAAAGATATAATTAATTATGTTAAAAATATTCAATAAAAGATATAATTAATTATGTTAAAAATATTCAATAAAAGATATAATTAATTATGTTAAAAATATTCAATAAAAGATATAATTAATTATGTTAAAAATATTCAATAAAAGATATAATTAATTATGTTAAAAATATTCAATAAAAGATATAATTAATTATGTTAAAAATATTCAATAAAAGATATAATTAATTATGTTAAAAATATTCAATAAAAGATAAATTATAATTAATTATAATAAATTATTGCATCCAGATATAATTAAATTAGGGTTGTTTTGGCAACTTACTAAAATAATTAAAAGTTAAAAAATTATTATCAAGAAGTCAACTATTCTCTTTATTTTTTTATAAAAAATTTTTTTAAAAAAAAACTAGTAACTAAAAAGGGAAAATTAGTCTAAGATCCTTATCCTATTTTTAGTAATGGAAAAGATCTACGATATTATTTTATAATGTCTAAAGTCCCTCAACCCCATACCCAGATATCACAGAGAAATTTGACTCTCTCTCTCTCTCTTTCTCTGCACATTCCTCTTTCTCTCTACTCCTTTCTTCTCTCTTGGCCTTCATCTCCAACAGCACCACCACCACTCCAACATTACAGTCCCGCTGTCAGCAATGGAGATCGCCACAATGGCCTCGCACTTCTTCCCCACCACCGCCACCGCGACTCGCATGCTATCTTTATCCACCAACCGAACCCTAAGTTGGTCATCTCCCAAAGCTTCTCTCTCCTCCAATTTCCTCTCTCCCTCTGTCGCTGGTAGCATCTCTAGCGATTTCTTCAGCTAGAAGCTTCGCCTCGCCTCTCTCAACCCCTACTCCAACTCTCATCCCAAAAGAGACGTCGTCACCATGGTACTGTTCCCTAAACCTACAAATTTGCGTCACCTTTTTTCTTATCTAGGGTTTTTCAATTTTCTGATATATATATATATATGTATATATACATATGCATTTTTTTTTGTATCTATTATATAAAGCTCTAATCTAGAAGTTCCTTCATTTTCAATTCAACATTTTTAACTTTCTTCGTTTAATAGTAGTATCTGTTATATATCTTGCTCTCTTTCGTAGAGGCCTCGATCTAACTCTCTTATGCCATTGAAGTTTGAAGAAAAAAATTATCTAGCTTTGATTTGTATTACGAGTTTGATTTGATTTCTTGGAAAAAAAAATTCCACCTTTCTGTTGGTTGATGTCCTATTTGGTTTCTATCAAAATTGAGAGAGTCATTTATGAATCAGCAAGTTATTCTATGAGATTTTGTAAAGCTGATTATAAATTATCTAGCTTTTTGAAGCAAATTCCAAGTTTCAGAAATCAATTGACAATTTTCTTGCCTGTTGTTGGTTATATATTTATTCTATTGTTGGATAAATGGTAGTTGTTCAATTTTCTCTGGTTTGTTGTTGTTCAATTTTTTCTGATTTGCTGTTGTATGAATGTCTTACAGTCCAGAGAAAATTGGTCAAAATATTGATTGTTCAATTTTCTCTAGTTTGCGGTTAAGTGAATGTCTTACAGTCCAGAAAAAATTAAACAACAAAAAACCAAAAAAAATTGAAAAGAAGCCACGCAAATTCTCTCTGGATAGAGCCACACAAAGCCACACAAATTTTCTCTGGATAGAGCTACACAAAGCCATACAAATTTTCTCTACACAATTTTCTCTGAATTTCTTTAGTACTCAAGGAAATTTCAATGTTCTCTAGTTTGAAAGATGAGGAATGAAGTTGGAAGAGAAGAGAGAACTGCAATTTTCTCTGTGATGTTCAATTTTCTTTGGTTGAGTCAAAATACAATTTTCTTTGCCTTGAATAATTTTCTCTTTAATATTAGAATCCTGTGACAAAATGGAACAAAAGAGAAATTTTCGAGTGCATTTTGTTGAGTGATAGAAGTTAGAATCCTGTTATTGAAGTAGGATCAATATTAGTTGTGAGTCATTTTTAAAAGATTGTGAATTAGATTGTTATAATGTTGGTATTTACCTCTCGAATTGGTACTAGTTTTCGAGTTGTAGGTTGCAAAGATTTGAACTTAGAGAAATTTTAATTTTCTCTAGGTTTCAGAATTCTAGAGTTTCTCAATTTTCTCTGGTTTGAAACCACTACTCAAACCACCACTGCATTCATCAAAGGCAGTGGTAGAGATATCAAAGATGAATTGTGGGAAAAGAGCACTAAAAGCTTGAGGAGATTTGTAAACTAGAGAAAATAGTGAAGAGATCTGAATAATAATGAAACTTTGTGAATTTTCTTTGGATTTTGAAATTTTCTTTAAATTACTCTTGAATTTTCTTTGGATTTGGCAATTTTCTCTGGATTACCCTTGAATTTGCTCTGGATTTGGCAATTTTCTCTGAATCGATGTTGAGGGACCTTAGATATTATGAAAATATTAGATGTGCTTTATATTATAAAATTTTAATGCTAGGAACCTTAAAAAAATCCCCCTAACTAAATAGCTAGTTACTAAAACAATTCTAAATCACACATACAAATAGGTTAATAATTTTAAAAAATAATTACTAAAATTAATAATTGATGAAGTAAAACGAGATAAGAGGGTAATAGTTTGATAGGGAGTTTGGAGTTTGTCTTTTTGATAACTTTTTTGTTCAATTTTTTTTTTTTGGTTTTTGTTTTTAGTAAATTTTTTTTAAAAAAACTTTAAGTTTTTAAATTATATATGACGAGACGAATCATAAAAATTTCAAAAAATAAAAATTATAATTTTTTTAAAAAGGCAAAAATAAATAAAAATAGTTGATTTTTCTGTGTGCTTATTATGGCTTTTTAATTTTTTTTTTTAAATCTTTATTTTTTAAATTCGTCTACTTAATATGGATAAAAATAATAGTAAATTTTAATATATTAATTTAAAAAAAATATTAAATTCAAAAAATTAAAAAACAAAAAAGTGACTTATTTTTGTGTTCCCCAAAATAGTGACTCCTAAGCATAGGTATTAGGTATACATCTTACTGGCAATAGCAATATTTAGCCTGGCACTAGGCCACCCCTTTGGGTATCAGCAACCAGAGTTGTAGAGGGTGCTCTGTGACTCTGACTGGTTTCTCTGCTTCTTGTTTCACTTTCCCGATGGATGATTTGCAGAGAGCACTCTCAGTACGAGGTTTAGCACTTTCAATTCTCCCCGAAAAAGGTCGCTGCCTCTTCTCCACCAGAGATTTCTCTCCCGGTCTCTCTCTCTCTCTCTCTCTCTCTCTCTCTATTTTACTGTTTGATATGATATTGTTTAAATGGGGATAATCAGATCAGATGCCTCTTAAGGCATTGTTTGGTTTACTGAAATGAAAGGGGAATGAATTAATCAATAATTTTATTTTATGAATTTTTACAAGTGTGGTGCAATAATCCTATATTTGGATTTTATTTTTGCCCCCTTTCATTGCATTGCTGGTGTTAATAGGTATGATATGATGAGTAAAAGAAATTTTTTTTATTGATATATGCTGCAATGAAGAATATTCACATGGTTATTGGAAGTCTTATTTTGTTTGTTATCAGAAGTCATGCAGCGCATGGTGCTGGCAAATTTACCACCATGGCAAGACAACAATGGTCCAAAAATCCCTTTAGTTGTCACAGTTATTTTACTCCAAACTATGAAATGCATCAATATAAGAAAAAAAATAATTCAATGAATGGTTGACAAACAATATTAATCCAATTGTAATCTTTGTTAGCCATTGGAACTTTATAAGAAATTGAAGAAAATTTTTCAACACTATATATATTTGTATTGTTATCGATTCCATGCGTTTTGCTTAAATTTCTGTTTATTTGTCTCTTATATCCATGCCTATCCCATTCATTTGCATGCAATAATCCTCAACATTTTAAAAGACTTTACTGATACTCGTCTCGAGGCAAGGCTAAGGCAAAACGCCTCAAGGCTTTTGATTTTTAGGCTTTATTCCGCAAAGACTTGCGCACACAGTCTGAGACATGTGCCTTAGGTACGTCTTGTACGCCTTTTACGCATAAGTATGTGAGGAGTATACATATGGAGAGTTTGTCTTAGGTTCTTGTTAAATTTAGTCTAACAGATGGTTTAAACCAAAAAAAAATAAAAAAATCCCCCTTTGCAACTATATTCTATAGGAAAAATTAAGTATATGACCAATCAAGAAAAAACACTAAGTTAATGCTTTGTGAGAAACTCAATCACTAAAGTTAAGAATACCAATTTCACTTTCAAAAGATCACCGCTTCCTTCTCTGCAGTGAGCCTTGAGTAGAAAACTATTTACACCTTTATATTTAATTTTGATGTATTTATTTATTGTTTTAAAATATATAAATTATTTCCTAAATATAAAAATTCGGAATTTGAAATGCTTAAGCGTCAATACCTCAAGGCTTACACCTCAACACCTTAAGGCTTACGCCACGTCTTGCCTCATGAGGGGTAAAACACCTCACATTACGCATTCACCTTTAAAAGCTTTGATAATCCTATATATATCTTGATCAGCAACATAGAAATTCTATTAGATAAAAATCTGCATGAAACACTGCCTATCTGAAAGCTGATCAATTTATCCTCATACTGTCAGTAGCGTTGGGCTTCCGCAATCCAACAATATGTGGCTACATTTCTTGAAAGCCTAAGCAACATCTATGTATCTCTGAGTGACATTGCATTGCAGTATTGATTCGTTAACTCCCCCCCCCCCCCACCCCCCCCTTCCCACACTAATACAAGTTCTACATTACAGGAGATGTGATTTTAAGTGAAGAACCTTACGTCTCTGTACCAAACAGAGTTTCAGTTGACTCAAGATGTGATTGGTGTTTAACGACAAGTAACCTTAAAAGGTGCTCATCTTGTCAAGTTGTTTGGTACTGTGGGAGCACATGCCAGGTATACAATGGTTATATATATTATATCGTCATAAACAGACAAAATTCCATCAAAGCATTGGTATATTATTTTTCTCAATGTTCATTGTCCTTTAAAAACCAATTTTTTAGGTGCAAAGGTTATATATTATTTTTCTCAATGTTCCTCATACTTTTTAATTCTTAAATAGGATGTCTTTTGTGCCAAAACTAGATGTCTGGTTGCTCATCTCTAAGTAGTATCTAAACTGTCTTTTAATTGTTTGATAAGCACAAAATTCTATTAGCAAAAATGTCTTAAGGGGGCAAAAAAAACCCTGTGCAGTCAAAGAGGCCACAATCCATTTACAAGTTGCCAACAAATTGCAGAAATGACAATAAAGAGAAAGGACAATCCTCTCTCAGCCAAAAAAATAGAGAAAAAAAAGTAAACATCCTTTCAAACTACACACAACAATTATACATTCTCAAAGGTCATCCTATTTGTTAAAATCCACCTACTCTCCCCCTACTTCACCCACTTAAACCTACTCCACTAAACCTAACCCACTACACCACTACCACCTCACCTACTCCACTAAACCTAACCCACTACACCACTACCACCTCCACTTCACCTACTCCTTACCTACTACACACTAACCCTCTTCTATATATAGGAATCATGAATCATTGAAATAGATATAACATTACATCAATCAATAATAATACATACAATTTATTCTCTCTCTTTCTCTATACATTATTTCTTACACTATTCTCCTCCAAACTGTCCACGAAATAGACAAAGCAACAGTCTGCCACTTTTCCTATCCAACTTTTTAGGGCAACAATAGCCCCATCATGCATGAAGCTCACATAATGAACACAACATCACCCAGACCACGCAAAAAAACTAAATTTTCCTTTTATAGGAAGCTAAGTAATCCATTTTCCTAATGCATAAAGAAAGGAAGTTCTTAAACTTTGTCACCATTTGGCTGACGGGATCTTCTACAAGACAATAGCTTAAGAAGTTTTCAGTGGCACCAAAAATAAAATAAAAATTTTAAAAAAAAGGAGTGATTTTTGCCTTATTTTATATATTGATTGCAATTTGTTATCATTTTCAGAAGTCAGATTGGAAGCTGCATCGTCTTGAATGTGGTGCTCTCTCAAAACTCGACAAGGATAGGAAAAAATCTCTTACATCTTCTATACGGTTGATGGTGAAACTTTACCTACGAAGGAAATTGCAAAGTGAGAAGGTAAGTTTCACTTATTTAAAAAGTGAGAAAGTAAACATCCAAAATTTCTTCTTCGTTCACAGTTTAGCCCTTTTGATTTAAAAAATCTTTTGCCTTTTATTTTCCTTCTTATCATAGGGGCAGAAAGTAAATTTGTAATCAAGAGCTTTGCTTGGTACTACAGCCTACTTACACGGATTTCAAACTTCATGACTAGGAAGAAAAGTAGTGCTGTTGAGTTGGTATCTGTGGGATGAAATTGCTGCCAGATCTGTGAATCATGAGAAAAGATTCCTTGTCGGCGGCTTGAAAACCACAAATGGCTATATGACTTTATGATGTGTTAATCGATGCATTAGCTCACCGCTAAGTCCACCCAAACTAAAAGCTTACTGCTTGCCGAATCCTACCTTTCCTATTGAACCAGGGTGTGGCATTTATAATATTAATGTTATTCTGTTTGCAACTTTGCATATATTCTCCATTTCAATCTGCATGGGTGGGCCATTGTAAGGGGTTGACGTGGAACGAGCCATAAACTGACGTATTTGTTACATCATATATCTTTATATGTGTAGGCCATTAACTTGGCCATTAGATTGCAAGAGAACATCATATTCTCTCTGTTGAAATCTTGCTGTTGATTCCTTCCCCTCAATTTATTATTAACAACATTGCTGTTCTGACTATGTATTAGTCAGAACATATATCTCTGTATGTATAGGGCAATAACTTGCCATTAGATCATATAAAGCCTTGACTATAAATTCATCGGTTTCAGCTCCAGTGCGATTCGGTGATCAGTTTTGCAAGTGCTTCAGAGATGAAGTATAGTTTTGTGGTTTATAATAGATACAAAGCAATCTTTCTTCTCCAGACTGCCACTTAAAAGCAATTTACTTTAGGACAAGATTTGCGTATCTTAGTTTTATCAGCACATAAACCTTATTTTCGCCTATGATACTATCAATTGACTTGAATAATATGGCAGGAGTAGTGTCTCAACACCCAAATCAATCTGCTTTACCATACTAAATTCTTAATCAGCAACATAAAAGGATATGATTGTAGTATCTAATACAGATACTACATGTTGTTAGGCGCAACCTGGATTCCAGTGAGTTCTTAGCAGCTAAGACTTGCTGTGGTATGAAAATAACATCACATTCTCATTTTTAGTCCATTACATGGCTTTAAAATTCACAAAAAGCCAGATTTGGAGTATTTTGTTGAATTCGGTAGGAGAAGTTTAACTGAAAAATTGAAATATTCTGCAAACTTCAGAAAATTTTGTATTTGGAATTTAGAGAAAGTGGATTTTTTTTAACGTTTTTCTTAATTCAGTTGAGAAATCTTTCAAATTACTAAAAAATTGGCAAAATCTGGTCAAATTCATCCAAAAAAAATTTCTGAAATTTCAAATTTGCTAATAAAGTCAGAAATTCATATTATGTGTCTACCTAATGGAATGATTCTCCTTTCTTTCAATATTTCATTTTTGTGATATCTTTGAATGCTTATTGTATTTATAGATGTTGGCTAAATGCACAGTTATGTCTTCAACTAGATGTATAGAATTTCTCTCACTCGAGCAATCAGATGGCTCTTAATTATTGTTTTTTTATCACTGCCAGATTATCCCAACTACTGTGACTGACAACTACAATCTGGTGGAAGCTTTGGTATCTCGTATCCTTATCTATTTCAGTCTTTGAGGCATTCTATTCACAAACTTTCTCTACAGGTTTTTGTCTTTGAGTTTACAATGTGCTTTCCATGGTCTTTTTCTTCCATCATTACATTTCTACACATTTGAATGTTTTGTTAACAATGTTTTCATGAAGATATGTCTGATATCGATGAAAAGCAATTGGTGTTGTACGCACAGATGGCTAACCTTGTCAGCTTGATACTTCAGTTGCCTGACATCAATATAAAAGAGATTGCAGAAAATTTTTCCAAGGTATTTTATTAGATAATGAGCCAAATTACTTTATTGTCCCTGTAGTATCTGGGTATAAAGTTAAGAGTGCTCAGTTTCAGAGAAAGCATAAACAAACCCTGTTTGAAGTTAAAACTCAGTTTTAGGGCTTGCAGTTATGTGGTAGACTTTAAAGTATCTCAGTTGTGTTGGAAATCCAGGGAGCTCCAATCATAAGAAACTACATCTATCTGTCAAGTGTTTATCACACTTATGATATTCTGTTTGATATTTTGTTGTTCCTTTTCATGGAAACCCATTTTTGTCACATAAGCACGATGTCTCATCTCAAATGGTCTCTACCCAGAGATTGTCAATCTGATGATTCTCGTCTGACCTCCTCAACTACATGCAGCTTGCGTGCAATGCGCATACCATTTGTGACAGTGAACTGAGACCACTGGGAACAGGACTGTATCCCATTATTTCTATCATCAACCACAGGTAATTCCTTTTAGACTTTATTTTTCTTTGCTTTTCCTCTCCTTCCTGTTTACTCTGATAAATGGTTTTGGTACTGTAGCTGCTTGCCAAATTCTGTCCTGGTATTTGAGGGAAGGGTTGCAGTGATTCGCGCTGTGCAACATATACCCAAAGGTACTGAGGTAATATTTCCATTTCGGCTATGTTGGTTGCTTTCTGCGTAAGGAAGAAAATAGCTAATCTAAATAAGAAAATACATTTCCTGTGGATCTGAATCTTCTCTTATTCTGCATGTACCCAACTGGTTCTTCTTAACTTCAACTGCTCTGTGAGTGTGTGTGTCTAGCATAAGGATTGGTTTTATTTCATACTCTTTTATTACTTACTCGTTGTACTTGAAGGTATCGATAAGCTACATAGAAACAGCTGGAAGCACCATGACTCGACAAAAGGCTCTCAAAGAACAGTACTTTTTCTCTTGCGCTTGTCTCCACTGCATAAAAGTGGTACTTTTACATCGGTTTAAATTTTTTTGATCCTATATCATTCTATTATTTAACATTGAAACTTCTCTCTGGACTACTTCCACTAAACTTAGCCAGTTCTATATCGAAGGGCCAACCTGATGATATTCAAGAAAGTGCAATTTTGGAAGGTTATAGATGCAAGGATAATGGATGTGATGGTTTCTTGCTTCGTGATTCTGGTATGTCTGTTCGTGCATTTGACTGTTTTGAGTCAGTGAGATTGCGTGTCTCTTCAATGATTTCTGTTTGAATATGCAGGTGATAAAGGATTCATATGCCATCAGTGTGGACTTGTTAGGGACAAAGAAGAAATGAAGGAAATTGCCAGTGAAATAAAGTTTTTGTCAGAGAAAGCTTCCAAATTGCTTTCCTCTGGGTGTATCCTCTGATGATTTTACTGAAATCTAGTAATTTCTAATGGCAACTTGATATTTTGATTAGTAATTACAAAATTACATAATTTACCCCTAGAAACTATATTTCTATCAATCACATTGATCAAAATGAATATTGTTCTTTCGGAAAAAGGTTTCAGATTGTAAGGAGTAAGTCAATAATTTTTCTCTGAAAGTTGTCTTTGACGGTGTTCAGATAATACAGAAGCCAGTGCTACATTCAAGATGATTGAGAAACTACAAGTGAAGCTATGCCATCCATTTTCGATTGATCTGATGCGAACTCGGGAAACTCTTCTGAAGGTCTATCACGAGTTTCTTCTTTACTTCATTTCTTCCCCTCCCTGCAGTTTCGTGGAAAATCTGATAGAAGCCTAGATGTAATTGAAGCAATTCATTTCTACGTCGAGATATATCTTACTGAATCTTGCCAACATATTTCCCTCTCTTTAAATAGTGTAAGAGATTTTATTTCACCAAATACTTCTGGGTGCTAAACCTGTTCTTTTTGGGTCCTGATTATCATAAAAGAATGCTTATTTTTTGAACCAGTTTCCTCTAGGCTTGGGGGGTATACCACCTTGTTGATGGGTGTATGTCCCCATTATAAGGAAAATTTTACGTTAGACTTACGATTGCTTGGAAATAAGTCCATCTTTTTCTTGCCATAACATGCAATTAGTGAGTTCCCTGTCTAGTGGAAGATCTTTTTCAGTAGAATTGGAAAGTCCTCTTTAGACACCCGTCGGGTTTCTGCTTCCAGTTCTGGCTTATAATTATATATGGAGGCTCTTTTATGACTTTGATGTATGAAATCTATACGTCTCTTTTAGATATTGATGGAGCTTCAAGATTGGAAGGAAGCTCTTGCATATTGCAGATTGACTATTCCAGTTTATCAGAGTATGTTATTTTTCACCTTAACCTTTGGGTAGGAGATTTATCGAAGTTCTGTTACTATTTTGACTAGCTGCTAGTTTGATCTGTGTGTTCATGGTTAAAAGGTATGATATTATGCCTATGGAAGCACTTTTTCTTCTGCTATTTGACATAGAATATTGATGTCCATTTTAGATTATTCGTTATTGTGGTTTAAAATTCCACTTTCCAGGATGTCATTTGGTTGGTTTATATGTATATATATTTTTTATTTTGAAAAATGCAATGCAAAGAGGTGTAGAACTTTAAGTAAATAGGCAAATGGCAAAAAAAAAAATGAAACATAAACTTCCATGCAAAGATAAGTCTCAATGGCATGCATAGGCATGTCTGCCAACATCAGGGATAGGGCATCTTGCCTGTAGGGAACTGAAATCCCAGCAATGCTTGTAGGGAACTGGAATCATAGTATAAAGAAGGAACCAATAAACTGAGCAGTATAACAAACTCAGAAGTTGCAATTTCATCCGGTGGGTTCAACCAGCAATTTCATGGTTGCCACACTTGTTTTTTTTTTTTTAAATTCTTTCGCCAAACTAGTGTCTGGCCAACTCAGCCTGAAATCACTTAAAATTGCGACTTTCAACCCCGTGATTTCAAAAAGTGTTATATTTTCTCAAATAGTTTTGAAATTGAAATATTTTTATATAACTATTTAAAATACAATTTTGAGATGCTTCTCAAAAAAAAAAAAAAAAAAATTACAATTTTGAGACAAAAAAATCCCCATATTGGATATCATATTCTTACAGTGTATATGTTCTTTTTAAGGTTTTGAAATGCTATTATGTACTACCCATCAATTTGACCTTTCTGCTCATTACAGGAGCATATCCAGGGTTCCATCCTTTGCTTGGACTGCAATATTATACTAGTGGAAAACTCGAGTGGTTAGAATTCTATCTTTGTTTTGTTTATTTCCACAGTAACTTTTTAAAATGATTTATTTTGTCTATTAGCACACTGCCTCTATGTTTAGACTTCCATGATATAATTATGAGGTGTCAAGTAGGCCCCATAAGAAATTCCCAAGTTCGCTTGTATGTTCTGCATTGAAAATTAATGATGAAGATCCAAATGACAGCTTATTTTCTCCAATTTTGCAAATTGAGTGCAAAAATTGTTAGGTTTATTTATTTTATTATGTTATACAAGTATACATTATATCAAATCAAACTCATATTCTATGGTATATTTGCTCATAAAATAGTACGAGAGACTGCTGAAAAGCTTCACGGAAGTTAAAATCTGTAAATTGAAACAAGTCTATATAGCATAAAATCAATTATGGAGTCTATAGTGCTAGCTTAAAAATAAAATTTCCTTTTAACCTATATTTGAGATTTAAGCAGGAGCTGAGGTTTTAGTGTCCCCAATTTGATTACGTCCCCCTCGTTATACTCCTTAATCAGTTCCTCCTCCCCATTTTGATTAGGAAATTATGACCAATAAAATGAAATTAGAATTTCTCAATGCGCTGCTTTACTGCAAGAATTTCTTTATAAGTGGAATGATAAATTCTGCATTCTACAGGTTACTCGGGGCCACAAAGGATGCAATTAAATCACTGACCGAGGCAGTGGATATATTGCGGATAACTCATGGAACAAATACTCAGTTCATGAAGGAACTCTTTATCAAGTTGGAGGAAGCACACGTTGAAGCGTCTTACAAGCTCTCATCCAAGAACAACTCGCCTATGGATGACTAGCAAAACTTACCTTCATTTGCTTCTGTAAGATGAATTTGACATCAACGGTAGTATACATTTTTCTGCTGTGAGCTACGCAGAGGAAGCGACAACTTGTGCATCTCATTGTGATCAGTTGAGATTTTAGTCAGTCACAACAATGTCTAGTTTGGCTTCTTTCAGTTCAGAGCAGATATACGTCTTCTTGGGCTAGTGACTCGGTTCCTATACTCACTGCCCAAGTAACCAATTTTCGGCCCTTAAAATTATTTCACTGTCTTTGTGTTCGGCTTGTTGATGGATTGATTGCCTAGAATTGGTCGGTAGCAGTTGTATTAAGAACAGGTTTATAAATTTCAGGTTTTGAGACCACCTATTGTACAATTTGCCCTTGTAATAGAAAATTTTGAGTAGGGGATTGGTAAACTTTTAGAAGTATGTTATCCTCAACTTCTTTTACTCATCTTTATATCAATGGGTTAATTGAACCCAGCTAGCAAATTTACCAAACTCGTAGGCTATGTTTGGATTATAAATTTAAGTAGGGATTTGAAAAGGAACAACAAAAAAAAAAGGCAGGTGAAAGGAATCTTTCATCTATCTCTTTCCATTCCCATTTCAAATTCCTACTTTTATAATCCACACACAGTAACAGACTCAATTTTCTTCCTGCAACTCATGTACCATTCTGTTAAACAATGGATGAAAAGAGTATGGATGCACCAAGTGGAAATTATCTCATGCGAGTCAAGTTGAATTGAATAATAGATTGATAACGTTTCTTTTGAGAACATAATTAACTTTAAAATGTTTTAAAAGATTTGTCTGTTTATCTTTTGAACAGTTGATTTTTTATCAAATTGAACTTATATAATTTGACTTATCTTTTTATAGTCCATATAAATTTATGAAAATGAGTATTAGGTTATTATATCTTGATTTTTAAACAAAACAGTCAACCGTAAAAATAGGTAAAAAATTACATTATTCCTTGAGATCCTCTAGTGACTACCAAAACAAATTTATTTCAAATGCCAAGTAGAATACTACTCTTAACACAATGATTCGTTCAAAGCGATACACTATACATTGACTTCCCTAGAAACTCAAAACATTAATTATAAGCCAAAAACCCATATAATTCAAAACTGCTTTTTCCATACAAAACCGATCCCAATAATAGCTCCAGAAGGCTGTGCAAAAACCTAACACATACAATGCACATACTTCCCATTTACATGGTTAATCTGAAAAAAAAAAAAAAAAAAAAAAAAAAAAAGGAACTTTTTCAGTATGCACATTGAAGGAATACAAAGCGAATGTTAAATCCAAGACATCAGAGTGAATGTTCACTCGGTGTGTTGCCAAAATTTCTTGACTTAAATCATCTATTCTTTTACTTGGTCTGCTAATTGTTCCCGGAGTTGGAAGCAAATCTGTGAAATTTCACAGAGCAACTTGCGTTGTTGGTCTAGTGATGTGGATAACTGAGATACCAATGCCGGTCTGGGGTCCATTAGTGATTCCTCAAGCTGACCATATAGCATCAGGGCTTTCTGGTTATTAGCACAAGATTCAACAATCAACTGAAGCAATTTACAGTTTTGGTCCCGACGCCAAGACAATTGGGGTGGGATTGGGGGGACAAGAAAAGGGTGTTGAAGGAGTTGAGGAATCCTCCACCTTTCATTCCTGTCCCAAGCAAGGCACTTCTTCATCAGATCAACAAGCCATGGATTGGATACGGGTTCGTACGTAATTTCATGGTTCGGGTCTGTTATGACTTTGAACTTGGCCCAGAAAGTCTTGTACTCTGAAAATGGTGTTCTTCCGTATACCATTTGGTACAAGATGCAACCAAGTGACCAGATATCCGATGCACGACCACATTTTATGGTGTTTCCATTTGCATCTGTTTCGTTGCACATAAAAGCTTCAGGAGACATGTAACTCAATGTACCCACCTGCACTAGTTAGTTATCAAAAATTAAGCAAACTATATCACAAATTTCATGTAACAATAAAACTAGACCCCTTGTCCATCAGGTGACCAATCACAACTTGCCTTATTAGCAATTACAATTTCTATGTTTTTTTCATGTAATGAACAGAAACATCCTAGCATCTTGATGTGGCACCATGGGATTGGTCATTTGACAAGCAAAGAGGAACAGGGAATGAGATGCATCATAGTCGGGTAATACCCCGCAAAAGAAAGGAAGAATGGATGTTGACTAACCTGTGAATCCCTTTGAATGTTAGTCGTGTCACTCATTATAGCTTTGGCAATACCAAAGTCAATTAGCTTCAATGAACCTCTGACAAGAAGAAAATTAGCCGGCTTCAAGTCTGAGTGCACAATACGTTCCTCGTGTATGGTGTTAACAGCAAGAAGAATTTGCTGTAAAATGTTTAAACAAGGTAAATATCAGATTTCCCGCTTCAGAAAAAGCTACAGGATTAACTTTTTTTTGGACAATGGTTTATTATCAAGAAGAAGAAGAAGAAGAAGAAGAAGAAGAAGATATTACAATGTAGCTCAATACACAGCCCAAGTGGGGCAGCACAACACGAAAGCACACATTCTCTAGCTCAAAGGGGAAACAAAATCAAGACCTGGACCTAGAATAAAGGCCTCAACTAATAAACGAAAACCTCCCCCAAACCCAAAAGACTAGACAGTGCTAAGAGACTTTGTCACCTCCACCTTGCTCAATCCTAGGAATCTTTCATCTATGCTTGGAAAGTTTTGGCTTGACTTTCTCGATTGGATTGAAAATTTTGAATTGTTCTTATATTGAGCCAACTTCAATGAGTTGAGCTTCTTGTTTGTTTTCTTCTTTTTCTCTTCTCTAGAACTTGGAGCACCATCCTATTTTCCTTAAGCAGTAACAAGTTCCCTTCCTATCAGGCTAAATGAAGCAGAAGGATAACCCAGCATCACCTGAGTGCCTCTATATCTTTTTCCATCTTGCGGAAACCTTAATCCATACATAACACACAGGAACCCAGTACATTTAGAGAAGGCACAAAGCAAATTTACTAGATAGGGCTTACGAACAATTAAGAACAATACAAGAATCAATCTTGCCATTATTGATGTTTTAGGCTCAAGACATATATTAAGGGTGATGAGACAAGACTAAATAATAAAACCAAGATGAGGACCATTTCCAGAAACAACATTTAGGCAATCATCATCAAAAAATTACTATTGCTCAGCCATAATTAAAGACAATAGTAAACAAGGAATTGCTAGAGTACCTGCCAATAAAACCGAAGCCAATTCTCATCAATAGTCAAATTAGTGCCCTCCATTTCCTTCCACTTCTGGGAAAGCATGTGAGCCAAATCAATTTCTCCATATTCAAGCACCATGTATATATACCCATCTTCTTTAACTCTACCATCCTTGTTGCTCATGACTTCCTGGAGCAAAGTCTTATCTGTCACCTAAGAAGGAAATAAATATGAGAGGTAGTTTTGCAAATTATTAAACTAGATAAAGACGAAAAAGAATACTATACACTAGAAAACATGATATGAAATAACCTTCCAGACAACAAGGTTTGAATTATTTAATTTACTTAAAAAAAGGGAACAAAATTTCAGTTAGTTTTTCTATACTTATTGGTTGGTTCGGTTCTGAAGGGCGTATGCATACCTCAGAGTCGATGAGTTGTATAATGTTGTTCATTCCCTTCAGCTTGTTTAGATACTCAATCTCCTGACAAAATCCATATGCAGTAGCATAATCACGACCTTTAAGCTTGATTTTTTTCAGGGCATAAATTGTGCAATCTGATGAAATGACTTTGTGAACCTCACTGCTTCCGCCACTACCTATTTTCCCAAGCCTTTGATAGAGCTTCCCATTAACTTTAAGAAACAAGGCAGGATCATAATTTCTTTTATGGGGTGCCACTTTGCCACTAGCAATTTTTTCCTGTTTTCCTGATTTAGAAGGTTCCAACTTCACATCTGAAGACAAATTTTTGGACAAGGAAGCCTGAGATGGTAAGTCAGTAGCATCACCTGCAAGTCCTTTCCCTTTGTCATCAAGAGGGGAAGGATCCTTTGGATTGTCACTTTCCTTTGGCTCACTGCCTTGCAGCTCCTTAGGCAGGTCAAATTCCTTAATGGGTTGGGAACTGACATTGTGATCTCTCAAAGATTCTACATCCACATTAGACCTACTATTTTGATGAGGATGCGAATAATACGCCGTTGAATTAAGCATGGGAGCAGAAACTGAATTGACTAATGTTGTGGTAGCACAAGATAACCCAGCAACTGAAGATTGAGTCATAGGGTGGCTCAAGTCACCGTGCGAAGTGTTTCTGAATTGATGCAGCTGATCCTGGTGTTCAATTGTTGTCTTTGCCAACAAAGAACAATTTGGTCCATCAGACCTCAAACTTACATCTGCTGCTATGTTGTGAAGATTCTGCTGCTTCAAGTCATGACTTATAGCAGTTGCAGCACTGGGTTGATCATCCCATTCCATTTCTGTCAATGAAAGTGAACCCATATGAGACAATAAGTTGTCTGTTCCAGTGGCCATTTGGTCGTCGGCCCCTGCATAGACAGACCAATTGAAAGAGAAAGCAAAAATATGGAAAAGCATACTGACATTTGATATAAATTTGTGTACAAATTTGCCAATTGTTAAGATATGTGCAAAAATATTAACTTTCAAGCATTCATATATTTGTCACAAGGTCACATAAATAGCTATTAAGGATTTATTCAGTCTAGCAACCAAATTCCTAAACTAACAAGTCAGCAATTTATTACCCAGCGATCCAGCATTGTTTCCCACTGAAAAGTGGACTTTGTTCTGACCATCAGCCAACGGAACATGTTGAGATTCTACAAGAGATGAAGTAATGATGTCGTTGTGTTTGTTATCAGCAAAGGATTTAGGTTGATCTTGCTGAATGTCAAATGGATCAGCAGCACACTCTTCATATGTATTTGTAATGGTGACAGGCATGGAAGGCGGTGTGATTGATGCATCTACGTTATATTCGTTTACAACAGGACCTGTATTCACTGTCTGTGCAACTCGATCCTTATCTTGGGTCTCCTTTTGGTCCACTGTAGGACCCAGATTTGATGCCGATTGTTTCGATGTACCTCTTTGTGCAACCAAAATACGCCTTGGCCTTATGTTATTCGACTGTGTCATACCTGCAAAATCCTTACAGCAGACATTAAAAATACTTGCAAGAAGCCCTAAATTTGGGTTAAAATTTTATTAAGCGATTAGTCAAACCAGGTGAAAACCCTCCCTCAGTGAAGTGTGATACAGAAACAGAAATGGAAAAATTCAAAACATCTACATTGTAGTTATTAAAAAAAACTCTTAATTCTAATCTGAATATAAAGCAGTGGAATGTGCACAGAAAGACCTAGAAGCAAAGGAAGCAGATTAATGAAATCCTAATTCTGATAGTCAGAAGTCCTAGTTTTACTTCCAGCGAAGAAAATTGAAACCCCACATCAAGGGGCAAAGGCCCCGTTTGTTTTGGAGTTAAATAGATGGGAGGGAATTAGGATGGAGGTGGAGTTATTTAGTGTTGTGTTTGTTTGTAGAGTTAGGGAGGGAATTAGAATGGAAGAGGTGATATAGATGGAGGTTGGAAGGGGGATTGAGTTGGAAGAGGTAAAGATGATATTAGAAAAATAGTGAAGGAATTAGAAATTTTTTTTTATTTTTTATATATTCGGATTTTTTTTAAATATTAATGTTTAATTTTTTATATTTTTTTATTTGTTTTATTATTTTATATAAAAATAATTTAACAATTCCTAAACTAACAACTATCATCAAAACAAACACAATTTTACTTAATTCCCTCATTAACAATCATCTCACTATGAATCCCCTCCATTCTACCTCTAAAAACAAACAGGGCAAAGAGATATGGAAGCAAACATCACAAAGTCCAGTGCAACAAACAACCAAAAGAAACCCTAAACCCTAATTTTACTTCCATTGACATACAATGGAACAAAAATCTAAAATTTAAATAAAACCCTAAAATTGAGACGCTAATTCAATTAAGAACCCCTGCAAGTACATTGTGAATTTCTCAATTTATCAACAAGAACCAAAAGAAACCCTAATTTCACATCCATTGACAAACAATGCGAACAAAACAGCAAAAAATCTAAAATTTAAACAAAACCCTAAAATTGAGATGTTAATTCAGTTAAGACCCCGCGCAAGAACGTCGTTAATTTCTCTATTTACACTTCAAAACATATATACATATATATGCAGAGAGAGAGAGAGAGAGAGAGAGAGAGAGATACCGAGAGGACGGTGGCGCTTGAAGGCAGCTTGAACATGGCAGAGAAAGCCCTGTGGTGGAGAAGACGAATAGAAGGAGGAGGAGGAGGAGGAAGAAGAAGAAGAGGTAGAAGTGAAAGAACGGGAGAGATTGGAGTCAGGGTTGGTCGGACGGAGGAGATTGGTTCTGGTGGGTCCTGACGGTGGTGGTGGGGGCGGAAGATTAGCCTCCCCGTCCATCGACGGAGCTCAGAGGCATCTCTCTGATTCAGAGACAAAATTGTGGAGAGACAGAGAGAGAGAGGAAGCTTCAAATGGGGAAGTGAGAGAGAGAGAGAGAGAGTAAAGAGCTGACAGAAAAGAGAGAGAATTTAAAAAGACTTCTTTGGCGCTCAAAAGGTCCGTTTTTAGCGTCAGGATCCTTTGAAGTGATCAGCTAGAGTGTTCACCTACAGTTACCAATTCAACGGTTAAAATTAAAATTAATTAAAATGACGTCGTTTTAGTTAGTAAGTTAAAAAAAAAAAAAAATCATTTCAAATTCCCTCTATATATACACAGGTATAGCAGAAGAAGGGAAAGGAAAACAAAGTGCGAGAAAGAGAAGAAGAGAGAGACCGCTACTCATTCCAGATCCTTGTTAACTTGCTTGTCTGTGTAAGCTTTATGTTTTTCTATTCAATGCTTCATTTAGTTAGTTGGTTGCCTATTATATACTCTCATTTTATGTATTTTTATGAAAGTCATGCTGTGGAAAAATTCTGATTTTTTTTTTTAATGTTAATGATAATACACGGTTGCATGATTTTTTTGAAATCTATTTTTGGGGTTTTGAATTTGTTTTGTTTTTGAACTTTAGCTTAGCTTATATACATAGTTATATGCACAGTTATCAATCAATTGTATATATACATAGATATACACAGTTATATGTAGCTTAATATATCAGTTTTGAACCTTAGCTTAGCTTAACTGTATATATTTTGGGAGATTGTTTTCTATTTTGTGAATTTGTAAATTGCATATAACTGAGGCCAAGTTTGGCATGATTGAAAAAAGACAAAACGTCAAAAAGTCATTATCCTATTTAAGTCACATCATCTTATTTAAGTCACATCACCTCTCTAACACATCACTTCAAACCCAATCCAAACCCAACCCATATTTCATATAAAGTCAAAAAGTGCACTTATTTAGTCTTCCCAAACTAGGCCTGAATTTGTAAATTGCATATAACTGTAAGACTAAAATAATGTAACAGTTATATGAAGGCAGGACGACGGGGCGACTGGAAGGCTGGGAGGAGTAGCCTCTCTCTCTCTTCTTCTCTCTCTCTCTCACACACTCTGTTTTCCTTTTCTTCATTCCACCTTCTGCTATACCTGCGTATACAGAGGGAATTTGAAATGATTTTTTTTTTTTTTTCAACTTACTAACCAAAACGACGTCGTTTTGGTTAGTTTTAATTTCAACCGTTGGATTGGTAACTTTAGGAGATCACTCTAGGCTTTTCAATTTAGAGGATCCTGACGCCCGTTTTTACGCTCTCTCCATTATTAATGGGCCGAGTCTACCCATTACACCGCCTCACCCATGAAAAATTATTGATTAGTCCCGAGTAGAACCATTGATGAATAGGTTCTCGGTTTAGTAAGAGTTAGCTTGAATTCGGTTTGTTATTTATTTATTTATTTTTTTTTTGTCATTCGAATTTGATCTCGTTAAAATTTGATTTGTAAACTCGGCTCGTTAGCTGACTTATTTAATAGTTAATATTTATATATTAAATACTACAAAAATATGTATAAGAAATAAAATAAATATATTATTTATATATTTAAAAAATATAAATGTAAATAATAGTTAACTATAGATAATACATTTATATAATAGTGATAGTAAATATTATTATTTTGATAAAATATTGACTTTTTTTTAGTATGTTTATATATATTGTATAATTAAAGTTTTAATTATAACTTTAGTCTTATACGCAAGTATGAATTTATAAATTTTTTTACTCGGTAAGACTCGTGAACAGGCTTGAGCTTGAGTTAAGCTTAGCTTAAGCCAATTCGGCTCGAGTTTAGTTCGTTAAATTTTTATTGAACTCAAGTTCGAGTTCGTTAATCTTAATAAACAAGGCTAAACATACTAAAACTCGGCTCGGTTCGGCTTGTTTGCAGCCCTAGTCCTAGGGCACTATGTGATTATGTCCCAAATAAATCACAAATTTTCATTTCCCCTCATGTTTTTCAATCACTAAAGGTAAGATTGTGAATTTCACTCCCTCTACTAACCACAACACATATAGAATACCACGTGATGATATCTGGACCAACCAATAACTTCTCCTAACAGTGAAAAACCTTTCTTTTTTTCTCCATTTTTTCTTGTAAAAGATATTTTGGATATAAAATTTTTAAAATAAAATAAAATCTTACAGTATGTTTGGTATTGTTTGTATTTTAAAATTTTTAAGATACTCATTATTTTCATATTATTTTTATTTTCGTGCTTAAATAGTTTTTAATTTTTTTTTAATAAAAAAATTAGTGTTTCTTTAAAAGTTTTATGGAAAAAAAATTTGAGAAATAGTTTGTCAAACAAATTTTCTTATTTAAAAAAAAAAGTTCGAACCTACACAAACTCTTAAGCCTCATTTGTTAACGTTTTCAACTTTTAGTTTTTAGTTTATAAAAACAAGAAACAGGTTTTGGTTTATTTTTATAATAAACAAAAATAGAAAACTTGTTTGGTGTAAAAAAAATTTTAAAAAATAAATAAAAATAAAAATAGATAAATATATTTGATGAATTACCGGATTTAGTAGTCGGAGATGGAGGGTGGACGGATATGGTAACCAATAGTGACGAATAGCCGAAAGTGTTTGTTAGAGTTAGTAGTTGCATGTCGTCAGAAGATACTGTGTTAGGTTTTTCTGTCCATGTGATAAATATTAAATAATATTTTTTGGAAGAATTTTTCTTTTTTTTTTTAGACCCATACAGCACAGTAAGATTGGTGATATATATTTATATTTTTGATTTCTTTATGTGGACTTAAGACAGTAATCTGGCTTGACCTTGGGAATAAAAATAGTTATGTGAAATAGGGATTTGGGATTACTGTTATCTTTGGTGCATTGCGGTTGTTAACACAACTAGACAACTACAAAAATATATTGAATAATATTATGTGTATATTATACAATACAATGAAGGCCCATATATATAGACAAGAAGGAGAAAGAGAATCCTAATCCTACTATATAATGTAATCCTAATCCTATTATATAATGTAATCCTAATCCAATATATATTACTAACAGCCCCCCTCAAACTCAAGATGGTTTCAAAGAGACCAACTGGAGTTTGGAAAGTAACTCATGAAAACGACCAGGAAGATGAGTTTTAGTAAACAGATCAGCAACTTAAGCAGCGGAAGAAACAGACTGGAGTTGGATAATGCCACTATTGACATGTTGACGAATAAAATGACAATCAATCTCGATGTGTTTGGTGCGATCATGAAAAACATCATTGTGAGCAATCTGAATAGCACTGCGATTATCACAATGAAGAGTAGTAGCAGTGGGATAAAGTACACCCATGTCCTTAAGTAACCAACGAAGCCATAAAAGTTCCTGAGTGGTGTCAGCAAGAGCACGATATTCCGCCTCAGTACTGGACCTAGAGACAACAGTTTGCTTCTTACTCCGCCAAGAAATCAATGAACTTCCAAGAAAGAAACAATAACCGGTAGTAGAGCGACAATCAGTGGGATCACCGGCCCAGTCAGCATCAGAATATGCACATAACTCAAGCGGAGTGTGAGCAGAGTAATGAAGTCCATGAAACAAAGTTCCCTTCACATAGCGGAGAATACGAAGAACAACAGCATAATGAGTAGATCGTGGAGCAGACAAAAATTGACTGACAATGTGAACTGCATGAGAGATATCAGACCGATTAACAGACAAATAGACCAGACTACCTACTAATTGTCGATATAGAGTGGCATCAGAAAGGAGAGTGCCCTCTAAAGAGGTAAGACGAGCATTGTACTCAAGCGAGGTAGGAGCAGTCTTATTATCCGTGAGACCAGCATGAGATAAGACATCAGATGCATATTTGGCTTGAGTGAGATACAAGCCACTTGGAGCAGAAGAAATCTCAAGACCAAAAAAATAATTAAGAGAACCCAGATCTTTCATCTCAAAATGAGAGCTGAGAAAATGTTTCAGCTCATGAATGCCATCAAGATCATCACCAATAATAATCATATCATCAACATAAAGCAATAGAAGAATAATGCCACGGGGCGTCTTGCGAATAAAAAGAGCAGAATCATAGGAACTTGAAGAGAACCCAAACTTAGTAATGGTAGTACTGAACTTGGAAAACCAAGCACGAGGAGCCTGCTTGAGGCCATAGAGAGCACGACAAAGGCGACAAATAGTATCTAGGGTATGCTCATAGCCTGGAGGAGGTTACATGTAAACTTCTTCAGTCAGGTCACCATTGAGAAATGCATTCTTGACATCCATCTGAGATAAACCCCACTGACGTGAGGCAGCAATAGCAAGTAAACTATGAATAGATGTAAGACGAGCAACAGGAGCAAAGGTCTCCTCATAATAAATACCATACTCCTTAGTGAAGCCTTTAGCAACTAGACGGGCTTTGTAACGTTCAATTGTACCATCAGAATGAGTTTTGATTTTATAGACCTATTTACAACCAATAGGAGTTTTGCCAGAAGGAAGGGCAACCATATCCCATGTATGGGTCTTATGTAAAGTCTGTAACTCATCTGTCATTGCTTGCTGCCAAAGAGGATTAGTGCAAGCTTCATGATAGCTATGAGGTTCATGGTGACTTAAAATGGTAGAAAAACAATGATAATCTTGTAAATAACCTGGCTGTTTAGAGACTCGTTTTGAAAAAGGAACAACCGAAGGAGCTTTAGGAGAGTCACTACTAGAAGAGGGAGGAGATGCTGAAGAACGAGTAATATCAGTACTCTTAGAAGATGGTAATAGAAGAGGATCAGCAGGTAGAACAAGAGCATTAGGAATAGTCGGAGAACCATTGGACGAAGAGGCATCTGTAGGAGTGTCATCAGGAAAAAGATCAACAGAAGGATCAGTGAAATATGAGATGGTGGAAGTTGAAGGAAGAGAGAATTGAGAGATAGAGGACAACATTTGATGTTCCCAAAAAATGACATGATGAGAGATACGAAGACGGTGAGAGACGGGATCCCAACATCGAAACCCTTTATGTTCTATACCATAGCCTAAGAAGCAACACAATCGCGACCGTGGTTGTAACTTGTTACGTTCATGGGGAGGAAGGAGAACAAAGCAAGCACACCCAAAGACTCAGAGTTCTGTGTAGGAAGGAGATGTACCATGGAGACGTTCATAAGGGGTTTGATTGTTAATGATAAGAGAGGGGATACGGTTAATAGTGTAAACAGCTGTAAGGGCAGCTTCACCCCAAAAACGCTCAGGACAAGAGGAAGAGATGAGAAGAGCTCTGACTGTATCAAGAATGTGCCTATGCTTGCGTTCAGCACGACCATTTTGCTGGGAGGTGTGAGGACAAGAGTGATGGGGAAGGGTACCATACTCACGAAGAAGTTTTAAAAAACTAGTCTCTTTATATTCTTGAGCATTGTCAGATCGGAAAAACTTTGATAGAATAACCAAATTGAGTTTGAATCATTTTAACAAAATCACAATAAGTTTGAGGTAACTCCGAACGTTGTTTTAAAATATAAATCCAAGTGAATTGAGAATACTCATCCACAAAAATGACAAAGTATCTAGAGCCTCCCATTGTGGTGTTGGGAGAAGGTCCCCAAACATCAAAATGAACTAAATCAAATGGAGATTTTGAAACTGAATCACTTATATTAAAAGACAAAGCTGGCTATTTAGCAAGTTGACAAGATTGACAATCATTATGATAATTAGAAGAAACAGGACCTAAATTGCCACTAGACACTAAAGTACGTAGCCGACCAAAAGAAACATGCCCTAATCTAGAATGCCAAAGATCAAGAGAGAGAGTGGATGCAACATGCTGAGGAGTAGGTGTAGAAAATGGTAGATGAAGATTGATGAGCTCAAACAGACGTCCAGTTTTACGCCCTATCCCAATAGTCTATCCTGTCCACAGATCTTGAACCTAACAACTAGAGGAGGAAAAGAGAACAGTTAAACCAAGTTCACAAAGTTGACCAACAGAAATAAGATTTAGGGTGAGGGCAGGAATATGATAAGCATCAGAGAGAGACACAGTGGAGGTAGAGACATTACCAATATGACTAACAAACATGTGAGTGCCATCAGCAGTATGAATAATAGGTAAGGTACTAGAAGAAGTAAAAGAGGAAAAAGCAGTGGAATCTGATGTCATATGATTACAACATGCAGAATCAAAGAACCAAGAAGAGCTACCTGGGGTGACGGATAAGGCAGTGTTATGAGAGGTACCAGAATGTGCCTGTTGAAACATGGCCTCCATATCATTATGAGAATAATATGGAGCAGATGGATCTATAGGAGGAGTGGAATCCTTAGCAGCAGCAGCGGCAGTAGCAGTAGATCGAGAGGCAGGCTTATACCAAGACCCTTGTTTATAATGACCCCTCTTGAGTTTCCAGAAGAGTGGTTATTTCGAGACTGTTTCTGAGGACAGTGATGCTCAAAGTGACCAGGCCCTTGTTTGTGACAAGTACGACAACCCTGAACTGGACAATGAAGAAGAGAATGACTAAAATTGAGACCGCGATTCTGACAATACTGACAAATTTGGGTGAAGGAACCAGAAGGAGTCTGTGTGTGAGGAACAGCAAGAACAGTGTCAGTAGTGGGCTTAAGAATACCAAGACGAGTCTCCTCAGACAAGAGTTCAGTCACAACTTGTTCCAGAGTGGGTAAAGGATCCCGGTGTAATAGAGAAGCTCGGACAGGCTCAAAAACAAGAGTGAGAGCCATAAGAAACTCAACCAAGCGGTCCTTATCACGATAATCAGCAAAAGATTGGGCATCGTTGTCATCAATCCAAACAGGCTCACAAATAGAAAGCTGATCCCATAAAGTATACATGGATGATAAGAAATCATTAATGGATTGACCTGGTGCTTGACGTTGACCATGAAGACTAGTGCGAATCTGATGTCGATGGGAAAGGCCAGTTGTGCGATATCGGTCTTTGAGAAAGTCCCATATAGATTTGGTAGGAGTAGGGTTGGTATCAGTTTGAAATCACCCAAACTGAGATGAATTGAAGTGGTAAAGGTGTTCCGAAACCAAGTAATAATACGATAATTTTTTCCATCCCATGCATCCAAGCGGTCAAGAAATTTGGTTTCAGTTTCATTTGTAGCTTGGATTGGTTTCGTCAATTCACTAGTAATAACTCGCCATAATTGTCGACCTTTGAGAAAGACAGACATAGCTTAAGACCAGAGAAGATAATTGGTGCCATCAAGAACCACAGAAATTGGTTGAGTCGAGTTGGAGCGATCCATTTATTGAGGAAAAAAAAAAAGAAGAACAATGTAGAAAAAGACCAAATCTGGAAAAACAGAGGACACCACTGAACTCAGAATGCAAAAAAAAACCTTGGGAACAGGTCTAAATACGCCCAAAACAGGGATAAAACGGACTGAAAGGGCAAAAAATTTAACAGAATGATGTCAACAATGATGTTAGCAGCTGCAGAGGTGCTAGGGCTAATGTCAGCTGAAAGGCGCGCCGCTGACATCAGCAAAGGGTGTGGTAGTGACGTTAGCAAAGGCGGAGAGGCACATGCGTGAGAGAAGCGTGTCGCGTGGACTTGTAGCAGAGGGCGCGTGTAAGAGCGTGATGCGACTGGTGGCGTGTCGTCAAACGTGCCAAGGGAAAGGCGGCGCGTGGAGGCACGTGTGGAGGTTTTTATGAGTGAGGGTGGTGGCGACAGAATCGTCTTGAGAAGAGGAAGGATCTGACTGTTGTATTTGGGGATTACGGCGACTGAGGAGAGAGCCGTAAGGAACTAAAGATCAGATATAAAAAAAAAACAAATTGTTACCGGTGGCTGAGATTGCCGGTGAGGGAGCCAAGGAACAAGGTTCAGAACCTGTGCTCTGATACCATGTTAACACAACTAGACAAATAGAAAAGTATATTGAATAATATTATGTGTATATCATACAATACAATGAAGGCCCATATATATAGGCAAGAAGGAGAAAGAGAATCCTAATCCTACTATATAATGTAATCCTAATCCTATTAAATAATGTAATCCTAATCCAATATATATTACTAACAGCGGTCATTATTGTATGATCTCTAAGATTTAGTTTGGATTTTATTTTAATAATTTGAATTATTTAAATTTTAAAAAATATCAAAAAAATATGTTTATAAAAAATTAAATTAATTGGATATCGACAACCATTTATCAAACAATATTTGTATTAAGTTTGATATATATATATATATATATATTTATTACTATATGCATATGTGCTTTGATGAATATATTATCAATATCTGATTAATTTGATTTTTTTAAAATATATTCTTCTCAATATTTTTTAAAATTTGAGCGATTTAAATTATTAAAATAAAACCCAAAACGAATTTCACAGACCGCATAACAATCACTAATGTGCATCAAGCATAGCAGTGATACCATGTCAATAAAGTAGTGGCATATCTGCAAAAGTACTCATTGATTTATGGGCACGACTTAGGAAGATGTAAAGGGGGTTGACAATTTGCAAAGGTTACAATTAAGGCAGTGTAAAATATCGTCTAATTTATTAAAATTGTATTGATCTGTATTAATTTATATTGTTTTATTTGTTAATTGCGAATTAAATTTTAAAATTTATAATTTGCTTCTGAAACTATTCCGTTTCGCTATGGTTAATATATATATTTTTTAATCTCTAATAAAATATGAAAGTAAAAATAAGTATAAGAGAGATTTAAGATGTGAAATTTGTTACAAATTAGTAGTTATATATATGAGACATATTATGTAAAATTAGTTTGTGTTATATAAATGAAAAATATTATACAAATTAGTGTTACTCTCTCCGTCCCAAAATATTAATCCCTTATTCCATTTTTCATTGTTCCAAAATATTAGTCCCTTTTCAAAATCAAGGACTAAAATAATATGAATTTCCTATTTTACCCTTCTTTTAAATTCATCAACAACACAAAAAGTATAATTATGACAATTAATATTCCTAAAAAAATATACTATCAAAGGGTAACTTTGAAAATTCAATTTTTTAAAGTGCAATAATTGTACTGCCAAAAAAAGTTAGATTCCGCAAAAATGACTATTATTTTGGACCGAAGAGTATATCTTATGTAAATGCTTGATAATTGGTTAAAATATTCTTTAATTCATCAATTTGTCCAAAATCGTCTAAACCGCAATTTGTTAATCTGTTATTCAATTTATAATTTTACTCTCAAACCGTCCAAACAATACTACACACATGCCTAACAACAACCATTAACCATCATGTGGATTGACATGTAATAATTATCTTTGGTGAGGTGAATAGCTGTCTGTGGCTTGGGAAGTCCAAAGTGTTATGGGCGAGTCCAGATCCTCTTTAGCCCTCCCTCAAGTCGACGGTTAGGATTGGGCCACATCATCCCTAACAAAATCTACGGCTCAAATTAACTATAAAAAAAAATTAAATTTCATTCAGCACAACAAAATAGAGGTTTCCCTCTCATATCTTCCCATTCACTTTTTCCCTTCCTCTTGAGTTCTTCACTAGCGACGATCTATCTCGCGAAATTGACGGGGAACATCGACGACTTCTCAGTCTCTCCCTCTTTCATTCTCCTTCTCCTTCAGCACATCATCCTTATTCCCAAGATTTGCACCGCGAACCAAAGCTCTAGCGACCACGAACCAAAGCCTCAGCGAGAAAACCCTTCTATGTGCTTTCTTCACCAAATTGAAACCTAAGGTAATATGTTTTCTTCATCAAACTTAAGGTAATGTGTTTTTTTCAGTGATTTTTTTGTCAAGATTTGCACTGATCTACACTGCTTAGTTTGGTATTTATATCAAGATTTTTAATGTTTGCATCAAACCTACTGATATGATATGAGCAAACCATTTTCTAGTTGTTTCCCCCAAATTCATCACAGTTTCAAAACTTGAACCTAAGAATTCCATGGTGTGGTCACTTCGGTTCCTGCAAATATAAAAGTTCCTGCAAATATCAATTCTGATGGTTCTTAGAAAACAATTAAAAATTTGATTTACAAAAGCAAGAAAAGAAAATTATGCTAATATATGCAAGTTGACTTCATATTCAACTTAAAAAATTCCCTATTGAATTACTGACAAAAGAGTGATTGAGCTAAATAGATATTAGTACAATGAACCAACATTAATGTTCTAGAATTTCTACTCTGATGTTTGTAAATTTCGGGTAGGTGGATGATTTGAAACACAAACAAAACCTTTAAAACCCAACTGATTTTACTTTATTATTGTGTATTGATTTTCATTGCCTTTACTTTTTAGTTGAGTTTCATATGGATATGGAACCTAACAATGATTGTGGTTAGAAGCCAAAAGAAGGAATGACTTTTGATTCGGAAGAAGGTGCGTTTGATTTTTATAATGCATATAGAGAAAGAATGGGGTTTAGTATAAGAAGGGAATATTGTAAGAAGAACAAGTTTACTAAACAAATTATTTCTAGAATTTTTTTTTGCAACAAGGAGGGATTTCGGAAGGTTGACAAGCGAGACCCATTGACAAAAAACCCTAGAGCTGAAACTGGGACTGGTTGTCAGGCCCGACTTTTTGTTAAATTGGATGTCAATACTGGGAAATTTGTTGTGATTGATTTCAAAGAAAAACACAACCATGAACTTGTATCTCTTGATTGTACCCATATATTGCCATCGCAAAGAAAGATATCCACTACCCAAGCAATTCAGTTAGACTTAGCCTTAGAGTCTGGTCTTCATTTAGGGCAGACTTTTGAATTCGTGGGTAAGGAAGCTGATGGGAGGCAGTCTCTTGGGTTTTTGAAATTAGATCAAAAAAATTACTTGAGAACCAAAAGGCAAAAAAGTTTAGTGAATGGGGAAGTAAGTAATGTGTTGCAATGCTTTCAACAAAAATCTTTGGAGAATCCTTTTTTTATTTATTTATTTAATGCTTTCCAATTAGATAATGAAGAGCAAATAACGAATATGTTCTAGGCCGATGCACAAATGATCATGGATTATGCCCAATTTGGCGATGTAGTTACATTTGATATTACCTACAAGTTAAATAAAGAGTATAGGCCATTTGCATCTTTTGTGAGATTTAATCATCATAGAGCAACAATTGTTTTTGGTGCTATTTGTTATATGATGAGACTGCCGAAACATTTGTATGGTTATTTCAAACTTTTTTAGAGGCTATGTCAAAAAAGACACTAAAAACTTTGTTTACTGATCAAGATGTTGCAATGGCTAAGGCCATACCCATTGTCATGCCTGACACGAGTCACTATTTATGCACTTGGCATTTGATGCAAAATGCATTAAGGCATGTTAATTGTCTCTTTCAAGATAAGGGGGTGAAAGGTGTATTAAATAGATTCATGTTTGATATTGATGATAAAAATGAAAGGAAAATGAAGTGGGGGGAAATGCTTGATACATATGATGCTCATGATAATCATTGGTTAAAGTTGACTTTTGGGGTGAAGGAAAAATGAGGCTGGCCATATGTTAAATCAACATGGGCTGTGGGAATGAGTACAACACAACTTAATGAATCTTTTAATGTGCTTTTGAAGGATTACATTCATTCTGATTTTAATTTAAATGAATTCTTCATATATTTTGAAAGGGTACTTTGTGAGAAGCGGTACAAGGAGTTAGAAGTTGAATATGCTTTATACCAAAGGTTGCCAAGGGTGAGAGCACCATTTAGAATGTTAAGTCAAATGGGTAATGTGTTCACTAAAAATATTTTTGAAGAGTTTCAAGATGAGTATTTTCTTTCTGTTGAATCAGACATACAAGCAATTGAATACTATACACAATTGTTGATATTATTATTGGAAAAAAATGCAAGGAAAGTGAAGATGGAGATGGATAGTTCTTTGGCTTGTAGTTGTACAAAGTTTGAAAGGAAAGGGATTTTGTGCAGTCACTGTTTGAAGGTTGTGAGAGAAATATTGAAGCTGAAAGAGGTTCCTTTACAATACATTATGAAGAAGTGGATCAAACAAGCAAGAACAAAAGCTGTGAAGGACAAGTTGGGATATAAGATTCAAGTAGATGTCAAATTCCAACAAGCCTCACGGTATAAGACATTAATGACCGCATTTAGAGCAATAGCATATAGAGTTGCTGTAACTAAGGAAACTTATGATTTTTCTTGTTCATAATTCGCTGTACTAGGTGCAAATGTTGAAAGCAAGTTAAGTGCCTATTTTTGTACCGAAAAGGAAGTAAGTACTGATGATCAACCTCAAAGCTTGGAAATGGCTTCTGAAGACAACAATCATGTTGTGTAAATTCCAACAAGATTGAAGAAAAAACATCCAACTAGTAAGGGCAAAATGAGAATAAAAGGTCTATGTGAGTTGGCACTAGAAGTAAGCTTCAAAAAGAAATCCCGTGCTAAATTTGCGAGTTCTTCAATATTTGTTGCAACTCTAACAGTTAGACTTTTTTCATTATCTGTTGGAGGAGATGTTTACATTCATGAAAATGTTTCTCTTCTTTATCCTCCTCATTCATTTGCCATGGGTGGTACCTCAATTCCTCTTCCATTGATATATCCCACATATAATGTGAGTGAGATTTTCTCAATTAGTTTTTCTTTTTCTTTTTCTTTTTCTTTTTCTTTTTCTTTTTTTTGGTGGGTATTATTAGAGAAAATGGTTTATCACCATTAATTTTCAGGAATTTTGAGCTATAATTTATGTAGGACCCATACCTCGGGTTTGGTGGGTTTGAGTGGCAACGCATTCCTTGCCATGTGGTGAATAAGAATATATACTCGGGTGGTCAAAACTATTTTCGAGTGAATGAGAAATTGATACCGAAGTGAGCCTCATGAAGATGAATATGTTTGGTGTGGTTCCCATGAGTTGGTATCTAAACCTCGTCCCACATAAGAAACATGGAAGAGTTTCTATAAGTATATAAGCTCTAAGTTGGAGACCTTGGGTTGGGTCCCAAGGGGTACACAAGTTTTGTAAGAGGAGGAGTTATGGACAAACCCAAAACCACCACACACGCGCGTGCCACTGCCGGCAGGCAGTTCGGTTGGGTCGGGGCGGGTGCGGTGCGCGGGTGCGGGTGTGGGTCAAACCTGTCCTTATTTTTTGCTCCAAAATTATTTGAATATTTTGAATAATTTTTTGCGGGAAAAATTCAAATTCTAAAATTTTTGGTTGCAACTCTTCTTCATCTCTGACCAGTTGCGTCTCCAGTTCGGTGACTGTTCATCACAACTCTCTTCCATTCTAGAAAAGGCACTTCACTGCCTATATATATAGCAACCCTCAATTCCAAAATTAATGAGTTTTTTCTGTCCTTCCATCTTCTCTCTTCGCTGTTTCCTTCGTTCTTCATCTTGCATTCTGTGAGAGTTTGAAAACACAGCCTGGTTCGCTGTACAAACAATACGCTGTGCTGTATCTGTTTGGGGTGATTGTTGAATCCTGGAGGCAGGACGTCCATTATTCTTGAGGACCTTAGGAGAGGATGAATTTTTGTCTTAAGGACACAATGTTCAAACACTGGCCTCAATCACAAATTTGTTCTAAGTTTGATTCCACAAAGAAAGATTGTAAGTTAACTCAAGTTCAGTGTTTAATTATTTATTGTATTTAATTATTCTGTTAAATTAATATTATCGAAAAATATTTCCAACATTCGTAAGACAGAAATTGTATGTTTACTGTTTTACTTATGTATTTTTTGATTAAAATTTAATTTACAGAAAGTTTAACGTTGTTTATGTGTGTATATATATTCATGTTTGTTATTACATAAGTGGGTGAATAGTTATGTATGATTGTATAATATCATTCTTTATTTCATAAGTGCACTGTGTACAAATATTGTTGGGCTATATATATATATGTATTTCTTTTGATCTCTTGTATCTGGAGCATGAGTAGTTTTATCTTTGGGGAAATTGGTTTATTGCACTTATAGTTCTATCACATGTACAATGTATTTAAGTAAGATTATTTGTATATTGAAATTTTATCTAATATAGAACAAAGTGTCTTTGTTTATTGGTTTACTGGTTGCCACATAACATTAAAGTTTTGTATTATTCTTTTTTGGTTTAAATAAACTTGTAGTGTTTCTTACACAACATGAATCTGTAATTGGTTATCTAATCAAATTAGTTTTTCATTTGGTTTATTTAATTGATTTAATTGGTCATATTAATGTTGGTCAATTTATTTGATTAATTTGGTAAGATAATTTATTTGGTCAATTTAATTGATTTCTTTTGTCCGATTATTTTGGTCAGATTATTTGTTTGATTTGGTTCATACTATACAATCTGATTTTAATTCCAATAAAGATAAAATCTTGTTGTCCTCATATTTTATTTATTTATTTTTTGTAGAATATTTTGTTCCAGAATATTGTTAGTTTTAATTACTTGTTTTATTTATTCTATTGTAAAATATTTTATGTTTAATTTATTTTATTTTATTAATCAGAAAATGGCAACTGAGAGTATTGTTATTACTCCTAATCCCATTGTGCCTCCACCGGTGGTTTCTATTCTGGTTGTTACTCCTACTCTGCCTCATGGCTCGGGTCATGGACATGTTCCAGTGAACCATAGGGAAAAACCTAAAAAATTCAGTGGTACTGATTTTAAAAGGTGACAACAAAAAATGTTATTTTATTTAACTACCCTGAATTTAGCGAGACTTTTACGAGAAGATGCGCCAACTCTAAAGGAGGATGAGAGTGATGCGCAAGTTGTCACTGCAGTAGATGCATGGAAACATGCAGACTTTCTCTGCAGGAACTATATCCTCAATGGATTGGACAACACGTTGTACAATGTGTATAGTCCAATCAAGTCGGCAAAAATGTTGTGGGATTCCTTGGATCGCAAATATAAGACGGAAGATGCAGAACAAAGAAATTTGTTGTTGGCTGCTTCCTGGATTATAAGATGGTGGATTCCAAGATGGTGATCAGTCATGTCCAAGATCTACAACTTATCCTGCATAAAATTCATACAGAAGGTATGTCTCTAAGCGAGTCTTTTCAGGTAGCAACTATAATTGAAAAATTACTGCCGTCTTGGAAGGATTTCAAGAATTATTTAAAGCACAAGTGCAAAGAGATGTCACTGGAGGACTTGATTGTTCGGTTGAGGATTGAAGAAGACAACTGTGGGTCTTAAAAACAAAAATGGGCATCATCTCATGGAGGCCAAGGCTAATGTGGTGGAACAGAAGCCTAAGCACAACAACAGGAAAAAAAAGTATCCTGGTGAAAGTTCAAAACAAGGCTCTAGCTCGAAGACTAGAGAGATTCAGAACTTCACAGGCAAATGCTATGTGTGTGACAAGCAAGGACATCATGCCAAAGATTGTCACAAGCGTTGGGCTCAATGAACCATGAAAAAGAAACCTGCTCAAGCCAACATAATAGAGGAGGAAAATTTTTGTGCAATGATTTCGGGTTTACATATGTCCGGAATGGTGTTTGAAGTGAATCTGGTAAATAACCCCAAAACATGGTGGGTGGACACAGATGCTACACGCCACATTTGCTCTGAGAAAAAGATGTTCTCCACATATCAAGTGGTAGATAATGAAGAACAACTTTATATGGGAAATTCTTCTACCTCCAAGGTTGAAGGCAAAGGACAAGTAGTACTCAAGATGACATCAGGCAAAAGCTTACTTTGAAAGAGGTGCTGCATATACCAGAAATTCGGAAGAACCTGGTATTTGGATCATTGCTAAGCAAGAATGGGTTTCGCCTTGTGTTTGAATCTGACAAATTTGTACTCACTAAAAATGGGATGTATGTGGGGAAAGGGTACTTGAGCGATGGGCTCTTCAAACTAAATGTAATGACAGTGGTTCTTACTTTTAATAAAAACAACACATCTTCTACTTACTTTGTTGAGTCTTTATATATGTGGTATGGTAGATTAGGACATGTTAATTATGGTACTTTGCGTAGATTAATTAACTTAGAATTTCTACCTAAGTTTCATATTGATATAAATCATAAGTGTGAAGTGTGTGTTGAATCAAAATTGACTAAGGCATCTTTTAAGTCAATTGAAAGAAGTACTGAACCTCTGGATCTAATCTATAGTGATATATGTGATTTGAAATTTGTTCAAACACGAGGAGGAAAAAAGTACTTCATAACCTTTATTGATGATAGCACTCGGTATTGCTATGTATACTTGCTGCGAAGCAAGGATGAAGCCTTGGAAAAATTCATTGAATTTAAGGCTGAGGTTGAGAATCAACTTAGCAAGAAAATAAAGGCTATAAGGAGTGACAGAGGTGGTGAATATAAAGCACCATTTGGTGACTTATGTTCACAATTAGGAATAATACATCAAACCACCGCGCCTTATACACCTCAGCAAAATGAAATTACCGAGCGGAAAAATCGAACTTTGAAAGAAATGATGAATGCTATGATAATAAGTTCGGGGTTACCTCAGAACTTGTGGGGGGAAGCAATATTTTCCACTAATTATGTTCTCAACAAAATTCCTCATAAGAAGTCTAATCAAACATCCTATGACTTTTGGAAAGGTTGAAAGCTTTCTTACAAATACTTGAAAGTGTGGGGGTGTTTGGCTAAGGTGGCAATACTAGAACTGAAAAGGGTTAAAATTGGACCCAAGACTGTTGATTTTATTTTCATAGGTTATGCAAATAATAACAGTGCCTATTGGTTTTTAGTGCATAAAAGTAAGAACACAGAGATTCATGTCAATACAATTATCGAGTCGAGGAATGCATTATTTTTTGAAAATGTGTTTCCTTGTAAATTGATACAAAAGCCTAAAAGGACCTATGATACTGCTTTTGAAAATGATCAAGGACAAGTTGAGGAAAATTCAGAGGAAAAAGTCCAGGAGGAACCTAGACATAGTAAAAGGGCTAGGATAGAAAAACTTACGGTCCTGATTTCTTAACGTACTTACTAGAAGAAGAGCCTCAAACTTTCAAAGAAGCAATGTCCACTCCTGAAGCTCCTTCTTGGAAAGAAGCTATCAATAGTGAAATTCAATCAATCCTGCAAAATCATATATGGGAGTTGGCGGATCTTCCACCAGGCTGTAAGCCTCTTGGTTACAAGTGGATTTTTAAAAGGAAGATGAAGCCGGATGGTTCAATTGACAAATACAAGGTGAGAC